CTCTGCCAAAGCCCCGAGCAGCCAGTTTCTTCAGGAGAATGCTGTGGGAAATGGTGTCACTTGGAGGACCCTGGCTAGGATGTTGTAGAAGTCATTTTTAGCTCAAATAAGGATCCAAAGACCTGTTGAAGCCTTAGACTGCAAGCTGTGAACTTTCACCTAGATACGCTGACCATACACTGAACTCCTACCTAGCTACATGAAGGAAGGCCCTGAAACCGGTGCAAACCAGGAAGATAAGGTAGCCGAAACCATCAGCAGAAGCTGCAGCTAATCAAGATAAGAAAAGGAATGTCCTGCCCGGAGACAGGGAAAGGATCCAATAAGGAACAAGAAGACCCCAGACCCAAATATTGCTGTTGGACCGAACCGTCGCATGAGGGGAGGGGAACGTAGACTGTAAGGGTATAATTGCCCAGGGATTTCTTTGTTCGGGGTCCCTCTCCGGAGGCACCCAGCTCGAGCTGCTCTTCCCCGCTGTACCACTCAATAAATTCACCTGGCATACGTCGTGTCAGAGACTCTGCTTCGGGGAAACCTAGGGTCGAGCCTGAGGGGAGAGAAAGGGCCCGAGGGTGAGTGTGTGTGTGAGCGAGGAGTCGAAAAGGAGACTCCGGTCCTAGCAGTTAAAGTCTCTGGTGGTGTGTGTGCAACTCCCTGAATGGTGTGTGAATGCTCGGGCGGCTGCTGCTCCCTTAACAAGGAAATGCTACATTTACTGTGCTGTAGATCCATAAGTTGTGCCTTTGTGTCAGAGGGCAGAATGGGATTCAGAAATCCTGATCACACAGCCGTGCCTCAGCACCAAATGCTGTGGCTTTTGACTCTTAGGACTGCTTTAATTTTTGCTGCTGGAAGGAGCGAGTAACTTGCCCTGCTGCATCTGAGAGTGCAGTGTACATTGTGTCATACCTACTGCCACCTTCAGGGACATATCCTCTCTTTTTTCCTTAAAAGTAGGAGACTGTTCACACAACATGATGCAATAGACAAGTCCCAAATAGAAGCAGCCTGAAATTTGTTCCTGTTGGGGACCTTCCTTCTGAATTGCATTTTGTCGAGATCCCTGAAGGCCTTGAGGGACTAGCTACTGTTCACAGGGGACCTAGGCAGGATCATTCCACTCTGTCTCAGGACTCTGAATTTTCAGTTCAGTTTTGAAGCATCCATTGCCCTGGTCCCTGGCTCAGCTGTTACAGCTCTGCATCAGCACTTAGTTTTGCTCAGATTCTTTTGTGGGCTTCACCTCTGTGGTAACAGGCAGGCTTGGTGGGAACACATCCTCTCCCACCTGTGCTACCTGGGACCCTGCCCAGGTAGGGGTTGACCTTCCTTATCCCGGTGACAGGTCCTTGGTGGATCACCTGGGGAATGATGCCCTTCTGGTGGCTGGGGACTATGGCATGACAGAGACCAGAGACCATGGCGGCGACAGTGAGAAGAAAGTGAATGCAGCACTGTTTGTGTACAGCAAAACACCCCTATTTGGCACTGGCCCTCCTGAGGTCAGAAGCAGCTGATCCTTAGCTGCCACTGCCTGAAGTGGTATCCAGGACAAAAACTGCATCCTGGGGTTACAGAAAGTAACTGTTGTTTAGATTGAGAGGGCTTGGGAGTCTGTCACCTTTCCTGAGAGAACAGTGGAAAGGCTGACACAGGATGCAGGTGACTGAAGTGTTTGGGGACCCATGTTCAGGCCCCTCCAGCTGTGAGGGGTGAGTTGGGCCAGGTGAGCCAGGGCCAGACCTAAGGACCTGCGGCTCCCAGCAGGCATCCTCCCCTACGCGGGGCACTCAGGGAGGGCTTAGCTGTGCGTCTGCCTTCCCCTGTGTTTCCCCCCCCGGCTTTCCCAGATTCTCCTCTGAACAGGGATGCCTCCCCCACCGTCCTCTAGCCCGAGTGAAAAGCCACATTGCTGTGTTCTTTCTGAATTTCCGATTCCTCCCCTGTCTCTCCAGGAGCCTGAGGCTGTTCCCCAGGTGAACCTCGTGCCCACTGTGGCCCTGCTGCTGGATGCGCCCATCCCCTACAGTAACATCGGGGAGGATGGCTGAGCTTTTCTCCGAGGATGGCGACGCTGTGTCTGCAGCCTTGCAGCAGCTCTCGGTCTATCACATCAACGCCAAGCAGGGAGGGCCCAATGGTAGTCTGCCCCATTGAACTAGAGAAGAGAAGGAATGGCTTTTTAAGCACATACCTCTTCTGTTTGGTGGAGATGGGGAGGTGACATGGTATTATCTTTGCAGGGAACTTATTTTGAAGAGAGTTACCTCCTTGCAGTGTTTGCTCCAGTAAAAGGCAGCATCATTTTCCCAAAAGAGAAACGGGAGATAACTGTTTAGTACTTGGTAGTAAGTGCTGTGGAAAATACTGGCCTGGAAGGTGGCATTCGCTTCAGGATGAGAATTGGTCATAGATGGTCAGAGGTGGATTTGGTTACTGGGAAGGCTGTTTCCTCAAGGCTGAAGACGGCTAGGGGCAAGTTTTGTTAATGGAGATTCAAGAATACAAATGGGTGTTTTGATGCTGCTTCAGTTTTGGAGGAGAAACAGTGTTAGCTAAAAAGCTATTCTAGATCAGTGACAGAAGGAAAACAGTAACAAAGGACTAAATAAAAGAAACACCATGTAACAGGTGACAGTAAAGTGGGATGGAGAAGGAACAGTTTACACCAAGTGCAACGAAATACAGAACTCCAACAGCTGAATGACAAAATTTGAATGAGAGTGACTATACCAGGCGTAGAAGAATCCCAAGCAATGGAGCAGGCCATGTGCCAGGGCAAGCCAGAGCCTCTATGGAGGATGTGAGGGCTGTAAGTTGTGACTCTTAGCATGTTACAGAACCAGATTTGCCATGTGTTACAAGGTATGTGTCTCAGCAAAGTGCCTGCCTGCCTTTGAGGGACACCTGGATTGCTAGGAGCACAAGAATAACTCCTCCAGCTCCCTGCTGTACTCCTGGGGTTCTCAAGAAAGAAACCAAACCAGATCAGGTCCTGTTTTGGGCCCAGTTGCCTGGAAACAACCCATGATGTGCCAATTGGACACCATTGGTGCAAGCCAGTGAGGAGCTGGAGAGGATATAGAATCATAGAATGGTTTGGGTTGGAAGGGACCTTTAAAGGTCATCTAGTCCAACCCTCCTGCAACGAGCAGGGACATCGTCAACCAGATCAGGTTGCTCAGAGCCCCATCCAGCCTGGCCTTGAATGTTTCCAGGGATGGGGCATCTACCACCTCTCTGGGCAACCTGTTCCAGTGTTTCACCACCCTCATCATAAAAAATGTCTTCCTGTCTATGTCTAGTCTGAATCTACCCTCTTTTAGTTTAAAACGATTACCCCTTGTCCTATCGCTACAGGCCCTACTAAAAAGTCTGTCCCCATCTTTCTTATAAGCCCCCTTTAAGTACTGGAAGGCTGCAATAAGGTGTCCCTGCAGCCTTCTCTACTCCAGGCTGAACAACCCCAACTCGCTCAGCCTGTCCCCACAGGAGAGGTGTTCCAGCCCTCCAATCATCTTTGTGGCCCTCCTCTGGAGCCGCTCCAACAGGTCCATGTCCTTCCTGTGCTGGGGGCCCCAGACCTGGACACAGTACTCCAGGTGGGGTCTCACGAGAGCGAAGTAGAGGGGGAGAATCACCTCCCTCGACCTGCTGGCCACGCTTCTTTTGATGCAGCCCAGGATACGGTTGGCGTATTATTGAAAAACCCGAAATTGTGGTGGTGACACCAGCCACGGAGCCCTGTATAAATAGACTGGGTCCGTCGGTTTCTTCCAGTGCTCTTTTGATTGCCCTTGGACTACATGTTGCGGCTTCATCACCACCCACATGGAAGAGCAGCAATGGGTAATAGTCCAAGGACTGTACCAGGCTACAAAGTTTCCTAGTGATGTCCTTAACCCCAGGGAGGCAGCAGACTTCCCTAAGAGGAGGGTCTGTCCAGCATACTGGACCCTCTATTCCCCTCATATGATTGCTGATGGGAAGGCAGAAGTGTTCAGCCTGTCTGCTGTGTATTTACAGAGAAGCAGAGTGCTTTGTCATTTAAAGATGATAATGTACTTTACTGTCCATTAGTCACTGAGGATATCAATCATCATCTATTAGTAATTAGCGTTATCCAGTTCTGCCTGTTTAAATATTTGCACTCAGTTGTCTGAGGAGGTTTCTGGCTTGATCACATTGGTTTTGAAGAAACTTTGCCATACCAGGGAGGTCGTGCAGGCCTGGGAGAGAGCTGGTGTGTATGTTTGCCATTCGTGGGCAGGGGCAGGCTGATTCTGCCTGTGCTCTGAGGCAACTGGAAGCCACGTGAAGGTATCAGTGTGTTTCAGGGCTTGAGCAGAGCTATGCTGCTGAGCAGCTGAATGTTTGCACAGGTGCCCTGCCCTGGTAATGCCCTCGTAAGACTTTTTTTACAACTTTGAGATCATAGCTGCCTCTGCTCCTGTCCTCTTGAAGTAAGAGGCAAAATGAACCCTCCTTAGCCTATGGTACAGTGGGTCAATGTGCCTGTATTCAAGAAGAGGAAGCAGTTTGATTTGATCCACTATAAGCTCTTTAATTTGATGTCTGTCCTCAGACAAACAATGTAAAATTTTACATTGGGTTCAGATTAATAGCTAGTAATGACTTGAACTTCTGGGGGACATTTGCCTTATTCTTACCAAAGACTGCACAAAAGCTCTTAGTGATGCACGACGTTAACAGAGGTGCACCTGCAGGTGAAGAACTGAGTGACTGAGAGGAGTCAGTGTGGCTGTTGGGATGGATATGTCACTTGAGAGTGATGTCACTTTGGCAGAAGGATTGTGTTTCCTGCCGGTCACATCCTGTATTTGGGTGACCAGCCCCAGGTGATGCAGCTGGGGACAGGTCTGTCCTGGCAGGGGTTGGCAGATTGGGGCTGTTTCCATTCTGAAGGGGCCGAGTGAGGAAGATGGCAGTGAATCCCATTCCCAGTGGTCCCAGTGCTGCTGTCTGACCCTGTGTCCCCTCTCCTGTAGGTGGACCGCTTCCTGCACTCCTACTTGCTGGTGTCTCATGACCTGCCAGCAGAGCAGCTCCAGCGCCTGCAGGAGCTCTTCAGTGCTGTGGAGGAGCACGCTCGGGTCTTGGCCCAGGTGCAGGAGGTGATACTCGTGCCTCCGGATCTGGAGTCCAGGCTGGGAAGCCTCATCGGTTGCTTCCAGCTCTACCTGCAGGAGGCACAGGCTGTGTGCACCCACTCCTGGGCCCGCTTCCATCCCCTGCATATGGTGGGGGGGCTGCACCCTCATCGCTGCTTCCTGCTTGCTCTGCTACATGGCCTCAGAGCTGGCCACAGCCTCTCACTGTTGGGAAAATCAGTCTGCTGGGACTGAGGGTAGCAGCCTGTCCTTGCAGACACTCTGGCCATGATATCCTTACCATGTCTGTTATGCCTGCAGGTTCCTCTTTGAGTCGCTGGGCTTCTTGGTGAGCAGAATGTGCCTCCTGCTGGGGATCTCCTTGGTGATGTGTGGACTGTGCCATCAGCACCTGGTTCAGCCAGCTTCAGCTCAGGTAGTGTTGGAGATGTGGGGAACCTGACCTGCTCGTTGGCTGAGGCTGTGGTTGTCTCCCTGCCTTACCGGGAGGAATACATGAGCCACCAGCAACAAGTGTCTGCTGACAGCAGTCAGGTATTATCCCCAGCTCCCTGCCTCAGCACTGCACAAAAGGACCAGAGCCAGCTGTTTCCCGCTCATTGTGATGGTGTTTCTCAGCAGTTGAGGTTAGAGCTCTTGCTGGGCATTTGTTGGCAGCGGGAGGAGTCTGCTGCAGGAGCCCAAGAAGCAAGAGTCCTAAAGTGCTCCTCTGGAGAAACACTAACTGGGAGTCTTGCTGCTACTTTCCTGACAACTGTCCCCACTGTGCAGCTGGTCGGCTTCAGTGACCGGCAAGGTGTCACCTTGCCTGTGCAGAGACAGTGACTCATAGGAAGGGGCCTGCTGAGGAGGGGAGGGGAGGAGGAGAGGGAAAATCCTTCAGCCACTTCTCTTTGTGTGCTCAGTTTTTATGCTGCACGTTATGCATGCAGATGGTTCCTGGGGTCTCAGTGGCAGCTGCTCTGCTGTAAAGTCAGTTGGTTGCTCTGTAGTGAGGCCCCTCCTGCCCTACACTCACTCCCATTTTCCTGGTCTTCCTCAGCCCTGCAAAGGACGGGGGAGCAGGCTGGGCTGTCTCGTACAGCCTGAAGCAGGCTTAGCTTGTTGGGGGTGGTAGCAGGAAGAACTGTGTCCATGACCAAGAAACTCTCCACTCGTGGTCTCAGCCTGTTGGTGCCCCTGTGGGCTGGGCTGTAGCAGCCAGGGCTCCCAATCTCTTCCTGAGCATGTGCTGCCAGATGCAGGCTGTTGATTGGGAATGGTTGAGTTGCAGCACAATGTAGTGACAGAGCATTGACTCACCCCCATATTGGGTCTGGTCAGGAGGAAAGGGGAGTCTGGAGTAGCTGTCCCAATTGCAAGAGTGGCCTTGGTGTGAGCTCTGGTGCCCAGGAACAGCTGCTTGAAAGTGACAACTCTTCTGGGAGGTGGCTTAACCCATTGGTATCTGTGTATGTGCTGGGGGTTATGTCACCTTGAAGGGACCCCAGGCACTGCAGCTGATGGCATCTGTGATCCCATATTTGGTGCTTATCTCCCTCTTGACCTTGGATTTCTGCATGGGACTTTGTGCTGCAAGTGAGCTACCCCAAACCCGCCCTTGACTGCTTGCAGTCAGGAGACGTCATATTTATTTCTTTATGGGCAGAGGTAGAGGACAGTGACCATGGTGCCTGGCCACATCCCAGCTAAATTCCCCCTGCAGTTTTGACGGGAGCTGGGATTCCTTACTGCCCTGAACCACTGTGTGGCATTACTTGGTGCTATGAAACCTTTCGTCTCTTTCCCCTCTGGAAAGAGCTGAGGACTGCTTGCCTGGAATTCCTGCTTTGATTTTTGTTCGGGTCCCATTTGGTTTTTAACTCATGCACCATGACTGCCCCTGTTTGAGTTCCTCACTGCAGACTGCTAGTGTAACTCCAGGCTTTTCCTCTCCTCTGCCCTGGAGAGTCCCAGGGAAAGTGTTTTGTTACCTCGCTGAGCATTTCAGTTCTTACTGTTATGCCCAAGTGCCCAGTAGCTGTGGAAAATGGCTCTTGAGGGCAGGTTTAGTTTT